TATATATATATATATATATATAATACAAATTTATAGAAGTAACTCCCATAGAGCAGTGTTCCTCATCTTGGGAACTTTAACATGCAACTCCCAGAATCCATGATGGCTGGGGAAGGTTGAGCAACACTGCCAAAAAATATATATAGCAACACGTTGAAGTGCAGCATTTTCACCCTTATAAATTCATAGGACTACTTTAAGGTTAAATGCATTCAGAATTGGAGCATGAACCAATTCTATACCAAATCATATACCGTATACCTAAAGCAGCTTGGTTTCAAGCTTATGCCAAAGTTCAGGTTGCCTCCTCAGCCACAGATTTGGTTAAAGGCCTGAGGCTGAACATTTTTAAACATGTTTTAATCATAGGTATTAGGTGAAATGTATAGTTGTCTTTTTATGTTTAAATTTTATTTAGCTGGTTGTAACGCAACATGAAATATCTATTAACATCATCACAGTAGTTAAGAGGATAAATGTGGTGAAAGGCTTTTATTCAGGACCCTGAACCCAAAACTCTATCGTCACACGACATCTAAGAAAGAAGATGTGTGTCACTACAAGAGCATCCCCAGTATTTTGGAAAATAAGAAATAGGCCATCTTGCCAAAGGCTTGTTTACTTGACGTCCCTGATAGCTGTTCAATCTCTGCTTTGCAATTTCATACATTTCTAAATCTGGTTAGTGTCAAATTTCTGGGTGATAACTTTTGAAAAGGCAATTCCCTCTCTTGTTCCTGCCTGATATATAGAATAGTAAGAGCAAATCTCATTGCTTTACTTTCCAATACAGGAAGTCCTCGACTTATGACTATTCATTTAGTTCAAAGTGACAAATGGCACTGAAAAAGTGAGTCACGTTTACGACCATTGCAGCATCCCCATGATCAAGTGATCAAAATTTGGGTGCTTGGCAACTGGCATATATTTATGACGGCTGCAGTGTTATTCCAGGGTCATGTGATCACCTTTTCAAACTTTCAGAGAAGCAAAATCAATGGGGAAGCCAGGTTCATTAACAGCCGCAATTCATTTAAAACTGCAGAGATTCATTAAACAACTGTGGCAGAAAAGGTCATAATGAGGCACAACTCACTTAACAACTGTCTTAGCAACTGAAATTTTGGGCTCAATTATGGTTGTAAGTCGAGGACTATCTGAATAATCCAACAGACTTGCCTCTAGGATAGCACTAAAGTAGGGATTAGCTGATGCAAAGGAGGCCAATTAGAACTAGGGGGCTTCCTGTTTGCAGCCCTTGCAGGATGTAACATCTTCCTCTATGTTTATGTTGGAAGGTGAAAGAGATGTTTGTTCAAGCTTCTGCTGATAGGAAAAACAAAAAACATGCCAGACTTATCACCCGAAAAGAGAAACTTATTAAAAAATATTGAGAATACAGCAATAGCAAGGAATGGTGATAGAAGATACAAGCTGCTTGAATACTGTACATTAGATGAGCCAATGGGGGGAGGGCGGGGGGAATGCAAAGATCTACAATCACTGTTTCTAACCAGGAAAGCCAATTGCAAGAGTTGGGGGAAAAGGGCAGGGCTCTAAGACTTGCAAAGAAAATGGAATTTTGGAGGTGGCGCAGTGGTTAGGGTGCAGTACTGCAGGCCACTTCAGCTGACTGCTATCTGCAGTTCAGCGGTTCA